CCTAACTCTGCACACCTGTGTAACACTTTTTAAAGTCTCGTGCTTCTGTCTGTGCCACATCTGGGCTCTGTTTCCCTCTGAATCTAAATCTTTAATCTTCTGGTATTTTTGGAAACCAAAGCTTTGTTTCTGTAACTTTATTCAGCTGAATCAAATTTCATCTGCAGCTTTTTACTTGTATTTAAAATGTTGTTTTGAGTATTTATTTAAATTTGTCATTTTCTAAATCATCCAGGACCTGTTTGGAATAAACTCAGGGGGGCATTTTCTCTCATTAACCTGCCACCAGGTGGTGCATTGTATGCAATAAACTGGTAACTATACTGAAAAAAATGTTTTTTCGCAAGGTTGTACAATGTATTAGTTGTTAATTTGCATCAGTTATAGTTAATTTAAACTTCCTTAAATGTTATATAAGCTGTGACTTTAACCTATGTCTCTCTGGTTAGTTGTTTGATTTATTTAAAAGAAAAAAGAAAGGAGTGAAATTTTCATGTGATAAATGAACTAAATAAACATAAAGATAAATTATTATTAAATATAAATAATGAATAGATAAAATTATTATTATAAGTGACAATCCCTCACGTTTCTGAGTTTAACTATAATTTTGTGCATCGACCAGACATATTTAAATATGTGAAACTACAGGGGCTTGCAAAAGTATTCGGCGCCCTTGAACTTTTCCACATTTTGTCACATTACAGCCACAATCAACCAATACAAAGTGCTGTACATGTGAGAAGTGGAGCGAAAATCATACATGATTCCAAACATTTTTGCAAATAAATAACTGAAAAGTGGGGTGTGTGCGTTATTATTCAGCCCCCTGAGTCAATACTTTGTAGAACCACCTTTTGCTGCAATTCCAGCTGCCAGTCTCTCACAGCACAGCTGCTCTGTGACGACCACAGAGGTTGTCTAAGAGAATATTGGGAGCAACAACGCAATGAAGTCCAAAGAGCACACCACACAGCTCAGGGATAAAGTTATTGAGAAATTTAAAGCAGGCTTAGGCTACAAAAGGATTTCCCAAGCTTTGAACATCCCACGGAGCACTGTTCAAGCAATCATTCAGAAATGGAAGGAGTATGGCACAACTGTAAACCTACCAAGACAAGGCCGTCCACCTAAACTCACAGGCCGAACAAGGAGAGCGCTGATCAGAAATGCAGCCAAGAGGCCCATGGTGACTCTGGACGAGCTGCAGAGATCTACAGCTCAGGTGGGGGAATCTGTCCATAGGACAACTATTAGTCGTGCACTGCACAAAGTTGGCCTTTATGGAAGAGTGGCAAGAAGAAAGCCATTGTTAACAGAAAACCATAAGAAGTCCCGTTTGCAGTTTGCCACAAGCCATGTGGGGGACACAGCAAACATGTGGAAGAAGGTGCTCTGGTCAGATGAGACCAAAATGGAACTTTTTGGCCAAAATGCAAAACGCTATGTGTGGCGGAAAACTAACACTGCACATCACTCTGAACACACCATCCCCACTGTCAAATATGGTGGTGGCAGCATCATGCTCTGGGGGTGCTTCTCTTCAGCAGGGACAGGGAAGCTGGTCAGAGTTGATGGGAAGATGGATGGAGCCAAATACAGGGCAATCTTGGAAGAAAACCTCTTGGAGTCTGCAAAAGACTTGAGACTGGGGCGGAGGTTCACCTTCCAGCAGGACAACGACCCTAAACATAAAGCCAGGGAATCGAGAATCGGTGGCAAGATCTGAAAACTGCTGTTCACAAACCTTCCATCTAATCTGACTGAGCGGAGCTGTTTTGCAAATAAGAATGGGCAAGGATTTCAGTCTCTAGATGTGCAAAGCTGGTAGAGACATACCCTAAAAGGGTCCCCAACCTTTTTTGCGCCACGGACCGGTTTATGCCCGACAATATTTTCACGGACCGGCCTTTAAGGTGTCGCGGATAAATACAACAAAATAAAACTAGTACCGGTACCGAAAAAAAGAAGATTTATTCATAACACACGTGAAAAGACCCAGGAAAACCGAGTTAACGATAAAAACGATAACAAAATAACGCTGAAAACCAATAAAAACCCTGAAAACCATACATTTCACACCTGAGCCTCAACTCTCGCGGCCCGGTACCAAACGACTCACGGACCGGTACCGGTCCGAGGCCCGGGGATTGGGGACCGCTGCCCTAAAAGACTGGCAGCTGTAATTGCAGCAAAGGTGGTTCTACAAAGTATTGACTCAGGGGGCTGAATAATTACGCACACCCCACTTTTCAGTTATTTATTTGTAAAAAATGTTTGGAATCATGTATGATTTTCGTTCCACTTCTCACGTGTACACCACTTTGTATTGGTCTTTCACGTGGAATTCCAATAAAATTGATTCATGTTTGTGGCTGTAATGTGACAAAATGTGGAAAAGTTCAAGAATACTTTTGCAAGCCACTGTAAATGGGATATCTAATCACTCAAAGTGCTGGAAGTGTAATGAATACAGGAATACTAGCAAGATTCTGTTTCACCTTGCTAGTGTCACTAGATTTAACTGCTGCCTTCAGAGTTACTGTATCAATAGAGAACCATTAATAACTGTGAAATTCCTGCTATGACAGGCCAGCATGTGTGCTGTAAAGATGTGTTGTCAAACTCCTATTAATGAGAAGCAGATACATTCATGAATCAAGAACAACTAACAACACTGCACACTCTATTTGAGGTAGCCTATATTATGGACCCAGGCAGGTCAATATGGGTTTCACGTCAAAGCCCATATTTTCAAAAAATAAAAAAAATAAAAAAATAGTGACATTGAATTTTCTCCATAAAAAGAACTTTAGCATGCTTTTTGCAGTTTTAGAAATGAAGCTAGTTACTGTTGCAGAAACAGGTTAAAAGAAAGAAAAATAAAATGAGTTTGGATTTAGCTTGCAGTTGATCCCAGGCATTAAACCAGAGTGAGAGACAAGAAAATAAAAACTGGGCAAAATGCGATTGCAGTTGTCATTTATGCATATAAGAGCATGTATATCAGGAAATCTAAACCATCCATTCTCCCAAAAGCAATTTAAAACTGTTATTTCCAGCTGTGATGAGGTAGACAATAAGCTGCAACCTAGATTTGATCAAAACAAGTTGTCCTCTGGTCTGCAAATTTACTGTTGCTCTGTATCTGCCACATGCTGCGAAATTATTGTGCAAGGATCAGCAACAAAAAGGAAAATAGGTAAGTCAGTGTGTTTGTAAGGACATTTAAAAGCACCAGGTGTTTATTGAAGCGCTGCGCAGCTAAGAGATTAAAATAAAGTGACGTAACAGCAACTAAAAAGCAATATTTGATTTAAAAGTTATGAAAAGGTCTTGATGTGAATGCTTTGCTTGTTTCATAAATATGGAACAGTAAAGCCCTGATCTCCTTTGCAAAAGGCCTTAAAAAACAAATTAAAAACTCTTTTCATGCTGAAGAGATTCTGGTTGAAATTAAAGGTTTTATAAAAGTCTTTCTTCCACTAGTCACCTGGTGTTTAAGACAAAAGTTAAATGCAGCTTTTTTTTTTTACTACAAGGGTTAAAATGATTATCCCCCTATGCTAATAGATAATTGTATACTGCAGCCTGTAGTCGTTTAGTTTTCAAGTCTCACGTCTTTCAATATTGTGCGATATTTAGTAGTTGCACAGGTTGCAGCTGATCACACTACCACACTGGAATTCAGTGAGCTCCTGGGAACAACCCATTCTTTCACACATGTTTGTAGAAGTCTCGCACACATCTCCTGAGCAATCCCATTCTTCTTTGGCAAATCTCTCTTAATCAATAGTCTTCTAGGGTGGACCTCGGTCTTCAGTTCTCCAAATACTCCAACCACCGTGTTTAAATGTGGGGATGGTGTTCTTTGTTCTCCAAGCATAAGCAGCATCTCTGTATCCAAAGAACTGTAATTTCACCTCACCTAACTAAGAACGTGCTTCCAATACGTTCCAGTACATGAGTTTTGTCCAGGTTGTCCTACTTCAAGGTGTGAAGGTTTTACTGATCTGCAACCTCACAGTCCACTCCTGTTGCCTTTTTGAGACTACATTCTTGAGTTGGCAAAACATTAACGAGTATCTTTTCAGCTGTTCTGGGGTCTTTAGACAAATCTCTCACTAGTTTTCTGTCCAGAGTCTTTGAAATCTTTCACTTTCTACCTCTCCCAATGTTGTTTCTGTACAGAGTGTCTTCTTTGAATTTGTCACTCCAGTTCTTGATAATTGGAAACACTGTGATAACTTTATCTATCTAAGCTAATTGTAATCCTGACACTAAAACTATGTTTTGAGTCTTAAAAATTCAAACTCATGGGAACGGGGACTTTGTCCCCATAAGGGCTGTTGGTCCCCACAAGTAATCTTCCAATGTTTGGTCCCCACAAGGATATGTAAACATGTACACACACACACACACACACACACACACACACACACACAACACACACACAAAAAAAGAAATACAAAAAAACACAAAAAATACAAGAGATGTATCCTCACATCAGCCCCCCCCCAAAGAAATTCACCTGACAGCAATCAAAATTAAGGAAAGTTTCCAGGCCAAGGTGTCTTATAAGCATGCAAGAGTCCATCAAGGTTAAAAGCAAAACTTCAAGATTTAAAGTTTATAAGATCACACTGACGGAGAGGTCTGATAAAATCTGGTTTTCATCGGTGCCAGACATTCCTCAGATCTGAAGAAATACTCTGCAGCGAAATGTTGTTTAAACCCGAAGAACTTTATTTGAAATTCCAGTCAAGATCCCAAAGTCACAAAATACACGAGCAGTACAGGAGGAATATCAAGATGTGGAGACTTTTTTTATAACCTGAAAAGGAAAACTGTGTTTAAAAGTGTTAAGGACAAAAAGAGGCAGTGTAACATGGTAAGGTTTCGTGTGAACATTGTGCGCATGCAGCCATTTAGTCTGTTTATGATTCAGGCAGTTTGGACAAGTAAAGGGATAAAAGTTCGCTCGAAACAGCAGCTGGAAGAAAAAAAAAAAAGTCAGAGCTGCTGTTAAGAAAAAGGAAATAAAGGCTCAGAGAGTTCATGAGAGCAAACGTGCCAACATCTGCTGTGGACAGACAGAAGCAGGAGACAATCAGGAAATCAGAAAACACCATTTTTCTGCTTATAAGAGTATATGAGGAAAAACCAACTTTCGTTGAGCGAGTCACAAACAACAGAAACACAAAAAATACAATTTCTTTTTTTTTTTTTTTTAAATGTCCTCACTGTATAAGTGCGATGTTTAGGACACCAGATGAGAGGCAGATCATATACAGTATCATATAACTTCCATCACCAGTTTAATTATTTTGCTTTGGAAAAGGTGGTTTTAAAAATACAGAGCAGAGTATTCTTCGTGATGGTAAATTTTTTTTGTCTGTGTGAAATTTCCAACGTTCACCTTGGATCAGAGCAGCCGCCTGCAGCTCATTAAAGGAAGATTCAACTGAATTGTACTCCTAAAGTTTTGTTTACATGTCATGTGTAGCCTGTAAACACAGGCGTTATTTGCTCTGTGAGCTTTCTGAGGTCTGATTAAATGCTACATTCATGTCAAGTCGATTCATTCATGTCGAAGCACCTCGTCCAGCTTGTAAATAACATCAAAACTCAACCCTGGAAGCTTTAAAACAGCTCAGCTTTAAAGCTGCTGCTGCTGCTGCGAAAATGATTAAACTCCGTCTGCACCATCCTTCCATGAATCGACACCTCATTAGGATAAAAATTGGGGATAATTCAGACCTCTGCTTTCTCTTTTTTCCTGTGATTGCCAAGAAGGTTATGCAATGGGTTCAGTTTGTTAGCAGGATTGCTCAAAATATTAAAAGTGATTAACTTCTGCAGTAGGTCCAGATCTGGATCCAAGAACTCTTAGTATTTGGGGTTTTTGTTTTTGGCTATTGCGAGATTAAGGAAGATTGAACATTTCTCATCATAGCATCACAAATGCATACAAACTGAAACATGAAGTACTGCCACACAACGTCATCATGTTTTCCAGAAAATATTATCCCAGTGTCCTGAAATATTTTTACATCCAGAGACTCGATTCACACACGATGTGGAGGGAGGTACGAGGTGTCACACTTGTTTTAAAAGTATGTCTGAGCCACAACGTTATGGAAGAGCTTTACTTAGTAACATGAAAACTCTTTCAACATTCAAATCCAGACATCTTAAGATGAGATCAAACAATAAATAAAGCCGATTTACACAACAAAGTGGAAGACTACCACCATGTTCATGCTGCAACATTTGAACCAAGTGGGAAAATGTTGCATCAGCTGCTTCCTTTAAACCTTCGACAGAATGGCTGCAGATGATATTAAATACACTCTGATGATGGCACAAAGCAAACCGATCTAAACTGTTCATTTATACCCATACGTGGAATCTCCACCTGATTAACGCAATTCAAACAATGCGGCTACTAAAGCAGCTGTCGTGGCGGCCTTGCTGCATCGGTCTGTGAGCACGCCCACGTTGGAGTAAGAAATATGAACGCAGGATTAGACACGTTACCATTTTTCCTGCTGTGACCTCACATCTCCTCTGAGGTCTGGTTGCCAGATCCAGATTCTGGTTTCATTCACCCTTTTTTGCCTCAAAAGCCAAATCACCTTGTAGACAAACTATATAGTTGTTGTTTTTTTAATTTACAGACCCCTTTATTTTATTTTTTTATTCAGTTTAAAAGAAGACCCATTGAAGTCACTGTATCAGTTCATGCTGGACTGTTTTCTTTAACAACACCTTTAAAAAAGAAACATTAGTGTTCAAATTTAGGTTTACAAACAAAATCAGAGCTGTTTCTGCATCATTTACAGTACTGTATTAAATCCAACTCATGGCAGAACGTGAACATTCCCAAATATGTAACCACACGTAGCTATCGTAAGTAATAATACGCCATGTAGACACAGTATATTAAATAGCAAAGGGATAATACCTTTCAGAAACTGTTGCAGTTGTACCCAGCTTGCTAGTACTGTGTGGGCACGTATACCATTTTTCTGATTTTCATTGCTCTGACATTCATTGTATGCACACCGACTCAGTTTTGTCTCAGTAAAAGTAATGTTATTCATTATTAGCTCCAAGTCCAACAAGAGCAGCCCAGTTTCCCTCTTGATCAGTGCAGACACACAAGTTTAAAAGCATACAGCATTAACTTGTTTTTGCTGTGCACTGAAGACCTTTGTGTGTGAGATTGAATGATGAACATGAGAAGAGAGATCAGAGTTTCAGCTCTTATTTCCTGGTATTTACATCTAGATGAGCGGCACAGTCTGGGCCTCACACCAGGGTTCTCTGTAGTCCAAAGGCATGCATGGGGTTAGGCTAATGGGTGATTCTAAATTGATCATATGTATGAATGTGAGTGTGAGCGGCTGTCTGTCTCTAAGTATTGACTGTGATGGACTGGCGACTTGTCCAGGGTGCATCCTGCCTCTTGCGTCATGACAGCTGGGTTAGACTCTATAACCAGGAGCAGGTTAAGTTTAACTTTTACAAAATCGCAGCACACTGATCAATTAATTCTCCAGAAAATGTCGTCACAATTCTAGGAAGATCAAACCAACCTCTGTGTGCGGATGTCAGTGATATCTTACATCAGTAGCCCAACATAGATTCCTCGACTCCCCTTGTGCAAGTTTGCACAGATAGTAAGCCCACATTCAAATCTAATTTTATATTCACTCTTTACTGAGAATTTTAAACACCACTGGGTTTGTACATATTTAAACATGAATTTAATGGTGAAGCTTGCTCAGATTCTGTGACACTTAAGTCTCTAAACCTACACAGTCGCAGCTTTTCTTCCATACTTCAAATAGGCACAGATGTTTTTGAGCTGGACTGACCAAAATGTTTAAACTGCTCACACATTCATACAGCATGTTTCCTGTTGCTCACACTCATTTCACAGCTGCATTTTTCTTCACTTTTTTCTAAAGTTGTAGTTTTTTCCCCCCACAGCTAACCATGGGTGAGTTTGTGGTACAGTGTTGTTCCACAAGGTCCATTGTTTAATCATGGATATCTCCTCTCAGTTTAAGCTTTCACCTCTGGGTAGACCAACATGAAGACCAGTGAGAAAAGCATGTTATTCTGAAGCTGAGAAACTGGAAAGAAGCTGAGCAAAGCCAGTAAAAGTATCTGGATTGTCCTGAAAAAGAAATGATATACAGAGCAACAGGCATCTAAATGGCTCTCCAAGCTAAAAAAAAACAAAACAAAAAACAAGAGCTGATAAAACACAAATGGTGAAAGCAGCAAGGAAACCCCCAAAACACTAATGAGACTTTGAGAACAGCAATGCAGAGGCCACACTGCAAGATGCCAACCACTCACCAGCAGCAAAAATCAAAAAACAGGATTGCAATTTACAAAACTGTACAGATATGAGCTCCATTAGTTAGGGAACAGCTTTATGGCCTGATGGGACAAAGCTTAACTACTACCATATAGATGGAAAGACCAGTGTCTGCAGAAAAGCATGGATCTGCTCATGATCCTAAACATACAAGCTCATTTATAAAGCACGGTGGAGGTGCTGTCATGGCTTGGGCTCCGTCGCTTTCATTGATCATGACTGCAGCAGCAAAATGAATGAAGAAGTCTCCAAAAACATACTCTGACAATTTACAAAGAAAGTCATCCAAAATAATCAGGAGGATCTTTATTATGTGGCAAGATAATAATCCAAAGCACACCACCACCTCAACAAAGGACTTCAGCAGGATACATAATGACCATGCACTTAAAAACCTGAAAACCCCAACAAATCTGACAACTACATGATGGTGCAGTAAAATCCTGTAAAGGCATGACCAGTGAAGAAACAGGAAATCTAAAGTTTATTTAATGCATACTGAATAAAAGCTGAAATTTTTTTGTGTCTCTTCTCATGATCACCTTTTGATCCAACACACAAAATGTCTTCATTGCACAGAACTGTAAATGCAAACAATGTCGTCATCCACTAAGGTGGGGATTCAATGCAGTACTCTAAATCAAGACTGTGGAGTAACAGTCTTGCAGAAAACTGGGCAAAAAAAAAAAAAAAAGACAGCATACATCGAATCATTGCCTTCATCCCATGTTACCAGAACAATGTGCTGACAGTGCAAAGACAAAACAACATTAATCACAAGAATGTGAGGCGTGGAAAAGTGCTGACAGACTAATTTGATTTGTTTACTTCGAAAATCTAAGTTACATTAACATTTCTGTGCCTGTTAGTGGTTAGAGGAGAGCTCACCTGCTGAGATTAATCCTTAAAACTCGAGCGTTCCCACAGCGATCAGTGGAAGCAACCGCTAGCTACGGAAAAAATTTAAAAGCTAGTTTTTTTTTTGTTTTTGTTTTTTTGGAGTTGAATGACAAGGCAAGTTTTAACACTGAGAACACAGAAAGACACATTTAAAATATAAACCGATCCCTTTATCGTGTGAGGATGCGCCGTACACCTGGAAGAATAAAACATAAAGCACATACAGTCCAAAGCATCTAAAGTGCTGAGGGGGAAAAAACAGCGCGTTAAAATCACAGCATAGATCAACCAAAATACAGTCAAACAATGTGTTCAACCAAACGAGCGATCCGGTGCCTGCGTGTCTCGTAGCCGTTCCTTCACGCCCTCACCTGATGGCAGCTGGCGTTGCCCAGTGTGTTGTATATGAAACAAAACGCTGCAATGTTAGCAGAGCGCCTTGTGATGCTGTTTTAATAAAGTTTAAAACTGTTAAAAATCCAAACAGACTGGAGAAGTCCAGTCCGGCACAGTCTGATGACGGTGGCGTCTTTGTTTGGAGGTTTAAAACAGGTAGGTAGGCTGTGTTTCTTTCCATTTGTCTAGAAGAGCTGGATCATGGACTCCCGGGACTTCCCTACTCCGATCCATTTGACTGATGAGGTGAGAAGCAGAAGAAGCAATCATCTTAGGGGAAATACTGAAAATCTATCAATTTAAAAAGCTGCTCATCAGTTCTTGCACTTCCATGCGTGACTTCTTACCAGGCACTCCCACATGCTCCTCAATGAAGCGAACGTATTTCTGTGCGTTCTCGGGCAGCTCCTCAAAGCTTCTAGCGGCCGAAGTGTCGCTGTCCCAGCCGGGCAGGGTCTCGTACTGAACCTCCACGCGCTGCAGCACCTCCTGATTGGCTGGCACAAATCAATAACAGCATCACACCATTAGCTTGACAGGAGGAATCACTCGAAGGGCAACAGCAACAGATCGATGTGTTCTCTCTGAAAACGGAGCTCTCTGTAAATGATCAAATAGACTGGAAGAAGAGAAAAGGCTGCCCGATGATCTCTCATGAAGGCAGAAGATTCTCCACCTACCAAGATCCAGTTTAAGACTACCAAGCAAAACAAAATTCATTAACATAGCTCACATGTTCAGATTTTTCCTCACCTGGAAAGTGAGGTATAGTTTGGTTGTCGACTTTGTACCCTATGCCCACTTTGATCTCGGTGAAAACGTCAAGTATGTCGAGTTTGGTGAGAGCTAAACTGAAAGAGAAGACGGACAGCTTTACAACAACTGGATAAAGATACTTTATATATTTTTACAGCAAATCAGTAAACAGATAAAACAAATCTGCTTTAAACAAAATGTGACAAAAGGGATGAAAAACTGTCAGAAAACAAGAAAAACAAGACTTTTTAAAAATGAATAATAGTCACCGGCAAAACCTATTAGCGTCACATCACAATATTCAATTCAATTCACAAAACAGTTCCCTCAAGGTGCTTTGTATAGTAAGGTCAAGATCCTGCAATAATACAGAGATAACAGAGAAATCCCCGACCATATGACCAAGTGTTTTGGCGACAGTGGGAAGGAAAAACTCCCTTATATCCATGTAAGCTTTTAACAGAGCAGTTCCCTCTCTTCTTCTCTTCCTCAAAATACATCATATGACATATAAACAGGTTACATGATGTCCTGAAGTGTTTAGATACAATAATCAAAGATACAGAAACTTCCTTCTGTAGGGACACAAAACCAACTTAGTGACATAATCTCGCCAAAGTGTTGCGACTGTGCCCTAAGGTGCCCAAGCATCCTAACTGGAGTTGTGACTACTCTAAAATACTTTCTTTTCTCTTAAAATATACAAAAAAAAATGATTTAAAACTCACGCAGTGAAGCCATTAATCATATGTGCATATTTGATGAGCACCAGATCCAGCCAACCGCACCGTCGTTTTCTGCCTGTGGTCACGCCGACCTCCTTCCCTCGAGTCTGCAGCAGGTCTCCGATCTCCTAATGAAAACAAGAGTCTAAACTTGAACATCAGTTCTTATGTAGGTTTTCTGTAAATGTTTGCAATCGCAGAAAACAAAAATACTCTAAATTTGTCTCTAAATCTTTGAAACGAATTCTAAGCTACAGCTGGTTTACTGCTGGCAGTGTGGCAAAACTCCTCCAGGTGGTGCTATTTGAAAATCTACTCATATTTCACACAGACAAGTTAAGTGATTAGGCCATGTTTAACCATGCAGACACAGTAGATACTGTATGTACGAAACAGTTAATGTGTATGTAACGTGCAGCTTTTAATTCTCGATGTGAAATATGAAGTCGTGCTTATTAAAAATAAAACCCGATCTGAACCAAACTTTTATCGTGTTTATATTTAGTATCGGTGTGTGCTCGTACATTCTTCTGCTCTGAGGGGAAAGCACCGATGCCCACTCTTGTGGTGTACGCCTTGACGACCCCATAAACCTCGCCGACGTTCTGAGGCGGCATCCCGAGGCCCGTGCACACCCCGCCCACCGTGCAGTTGGACGACGTCACAAACGGGTACGTTCCTGCAACGACACCAGAGGTGAAGTCGGGTCATACTTTCTCATGTCACATCTCCTTTACTGGTGTGAGCTCTGAAAAGGTGATGTCATCGCAGGCTTGTTTTAGCAAGTGTCCTGATTTGTACTGATTTGTACAAAGGCTTTCATATTTGTCCAGAGATTTGTGACAAAACCTGCAAAACAAGCTGTGACTGGACTAGAAACCAGATGGCTTCTACGTGACACTCAGTTAAATTTAAAGTAATTTTCCTAGTCTGTCCTGTTGTCTGATTAGACCTGCGGTTGCACCTTAGGAAACATACAGACAGACCGACACAAACAGAACAATCAATCAGAAAAATGACATGCTTGGAAATTTTTAAAAGCAAATAAGTGCTGGGATCACAAAACCAGTTGCTGGAGGCTGCTGACATGGAGGTAAACCCATTGTGAGGAGAGACTGTTGTGTAATCAAACAGCAGTTTTGGTGTCTAAACCATCAAGCGTGTCCTGTCAAAGTGCTCTTTATGTAAACGCCGACACCCTGCATGCTCCCATGTGACATGTTCTGATCATGTGTAGATCCAGCCTGTCAGAAAGAAGGGATGTGTTTCGCTCTGACACCACAGAAACTACAGGCATCGTCTCTGGATCATGTTGAACTTTGACTGTAATTTAATCTGCTCTCAATGACAGGTTTATGCTCTTACAGAGAGATATTATGGTTAAGTCTACCGTATCATTTAATGAAAGGAACAATCAAATTGTCATACTTTAAAGTCTTATGAGAACAGTTAAAGAGGCCCTCTAATTCTAATCAACTGACCGATAGACTCAGGGTGCCTCCGTGCTCATGCACAGGTGAGTGGTTTGAACTTGTGATTGTGCACGCCAAGCCCAGATGCACAAAGCGCAATAATAACGCTTAAACTTACCGTCGTCCCTACCCTGAGCTCCATGCAGGCTTTTGCAAAGAGCATCGCAAAGCTTTAAGTGTTTCTTGGACAACGTCATCAGCTCACCGTGGGTGCACTAAACAGCACTTTGCAATCAGAAACAAGATTTATACTGACACTACAGGTTAGCACAAAGAAACAAAGAAGTGAAGTAAACACTGATTTACTGACCAAAGTCGATGTCCAGCAGCGCTGCATTGGCTCCTTCCACCAGGATTTTCTTAGGAGGACCATGAAGTGCCTCGTACATGTAGTGCACACCATCTCTTACCATGGGCTTGATCTGCTCAACATAGTCCTAAAATAAAAAAAAATAAAAAACTCGCAAAAAACCCAACATAAATAATAAATAAAATACAGGGAGATCTGCAAAGAGCACAGCTAAATGTTTTCAGATTTCCTTTTAGTTTTATTACCTTTAACTTGAGCAGCTCTCCGTCTATGTCGATCTTTAGAGTGGGGTACATAGACTGGTACTGCTGGGCCAAAGCTTTATACCTGCAACAAAGAATGATTCTGATTTATTTCAATCATTCATGCACCTTGGTCACACTTTTCATTTTTGTTTGCATTTTAACACAAATGAAAAATAGCAGCACAGAAAATAACTATCGGTTGGACTATTTCCCTCCTCCTTTTCTGGCGGGGAAGTAGGAACAACCAGGAATGGCCACATTCAGAAAGAGATCAACCCTTTGAAGGAGGTCAGTGAAAGTAGAAGGGTTTAGCATAGAAATTCAAATGTCTATCATGGTGGTACCTACTAGGCCTGTGCGATCAAACTCATTTTTTTCTACCTCCAATGATTATTAAAAGAATACATATGAGATAAAGATATTTTTTTATATTTCTTATTTTCCTTTTACATTACCCTCCATAAAACTCCCCTCCCATACTGTGACATGTCCACTTATGCTTTTCACTTGAATAATGATTATAGTTAAATAACACTAGCAGATTTCTGTTGGTCTGTGTGAATACTTTGGGGTTGCTTCCTTAATCACAATGAGTTACTACAGCAGGTAGCAACTGGTTGGAAACTTTATTTTAATTAATCACTTGTTTTTTTCAAGTTGTAAAATTCTCCCTGTAAGATTCAAAACCACCTTGAGATGACCATAACAGCTGAACCATCTTGAATTTCAACTCTGAGTAAGTGAAGCAACTTACAGAGCTGGATTTCATCTGAACACCTGCTTAGATCTGCTTCCAGTAAAAGTTCCTGAGTTTATGGCACCGAAAAAAGGCTCGTCAGCCAGTTAAAATTTCTGAGCTCGGTGGTTCAAAAGATATAAAATACTACTCAGCCTTTAATTAATTAGTAATCTTAAACCTTTGCATAGTGACAGTGTCGCTGTCAGGGTAGGCTGAGCGGTGACTGCAGAAATGAAATGTGTTTAAACAGTTCAACTTTATTTTTGTTTCACTTCTACAGTTGTTTATTAATGCAACATATTTAAATTGCAAACCAGTCCACCTGAAACTAAACGCGGTAACAACCAGCTTCACACCAACTTCAGCTTCTGAAAAGTAAAGATAAGATATTTTATTTAACCCTTACTTACAGAGACAGTCCCGTTGAGACTCAATGTCTCATTTACATTTACTTATTAATGGGGCAAATCCACTGGTGGAAGTCTGTGGGGAAGTGACCCTCAGCTGCCTTCCTCTGTGAGCTCTGTGAACGCTTTCCTGATAACTTTACGGACTCAATCACTAGTTTAAGATTACACTGAATAAAACCTGGAGTTCATTTTGGAAAGTAGAAGTCAGGAGGATTCTCCAGGGTACGCTCATTAGCTAGCAACTTTCACAGGCTTGCGGTTTCACAGCCAGATTCACCCACTGGTTGGTCACATGCCGTTTCAAAACACTAGATGGCGATGGTGGAAACACTATTTTACTAACCAATGGGTAACACGGTGGTTGCATCCAAGTTTTATATCATTTATGGTCTAAACTATGGTCTAAAGCTTTTTTTGTGATACTGGCACAACAGCAACAGTTACCAGACAACCAGACTCCTGCTGCTGATATGCAAAAGTGATCAGGGTGAACGAGCACTGCATGTTGAGTGTTTATAGACTGTGGGCCTTTCCAGTGTCCAAACCTGTATTCTGAAAGGTAGATGTGACATATATAATGTTGTTGGTGAGACTGACCTTTCAGAGAACTGTGTGAAGTCTGCCAGCAAGTCACATATCCTGAGCCCGGAGCGTGCCGCCTTAGCCGAGTACACCGGACCAATCCCCTTCTTTGTCGTCCCGAGGCTGAGCAAGGCCAAGAGAGGAGGGAAGGAAACACAGAGAAAAGAAAAACAGCATTTACATGCAGTCTTGCTCCGCAACATGAACTCTGAAACTGTAAAATCATTTCATGCTATGCACAGTTGCACACAAATGAAAAAGGAGCAGCTCAGTGGTTCTCACAAGAACAAAAGTTCATTACGCTGTTTCTAAAACAATACAACATAAAAAACATTTGACCTGCCACCTCTCATTTAATATCACTAAAACGGTTTCAAGTTATAGTCACAGACTAGCAAGTCCGAACTCGTGATGTGGAAACTTTTATTCTCTGAAAAATGACAAAATGCAGATGTTTAACTGTCACTGAGCTATTTGCTTCTTCTCTACAGACTCCAAAATATTATAAACTCAGACAGAAAGCATCTTCTCACACTAGAGTATTACAGTCTGACGTGCTATCACCACAGAATTACTACAGAGACAGCATGCCCACCTAAATACACATCTACATACAAAAGCTTACCATGTCATCATGTACCTCTAATAAGACGCCCTATTAAAAGGAAGTCTTGGCACAGCAGAATATTTACACCCTACATGCAACTACAGAACAGAAATAGATAAATATGCCCTACAGTTATTGCGCTTCATCATCAGTACAGCCAATATAACTCATGTAGTATCCAGTAACCATATGTGCCAATGTGCATGAGTGAAAAGTCAGCTGTTTCTGCCAGAGAAGTAAGAAAGTAAGAAGTCCAGTCGTACAAACCTTTGATTTATTTTTAAACACATTTTTGCTTTATCTGAAATATTGCATCATTTGACATCTTAATAACACTTATTTAAATACAACTGTCAGAGATGTTTGAAAAGGGATGAACTCTTAAGTACAACTGGGAACAAACTCAGAAACACTACACTCACTGGCTATTCTGTTATGTACTTCTGTTCAACCGCTCACTGATGCAAATATCTAATCAGCCAATTATATGGCAGCAACTCGGTGCAATTCAGCAAGCAGACATGGTCAAGATGTCCTGCTGAAGTTCAAACAGAGCAGCAGGAGTGTTTCTAGTTCCTTGTGGAATCTGTGCGACAACAATTAAGTCACTTCTGACGGCAAAGGGGAGCCCAATCTACAATAGCTGTGATAAAAGAAACTGTGCAATATAAAGCATGATATTTCAGTGGAAAGTGAGGCAACAAAATTTAAAAAGAAATATTAGACAAGTGGAAAATTAAATGTGTGCAACTTAATGTCCATTTCACTGGCAAATGAGTGATCTTACAGCAGTGCAAAGCTGGGAATGAGTGACGCATCATCTTTTTTCAAATATTTGTAGAAAACTTTAAATATTAATTTAAATATTAAAGTTTTTGTTTCTTTTTTACTTGCAATGCTGGTAAATTTGTCAGAGATGAAATTTATGACACACAGTCGCACAGAGATCCCAGCCTTGAACTGTTTTACAGACACTTAATTTTATGGTAGAATAATCTTGATTGTGAATCTTGATTATAACATGGAATTGAGAGTTACTAACTTAAATGTGTGAGGTTAGATCAGCAGTATAACACCGGCTGCTGTGATATTCCAGCACTCTGAATTGTGTTGCCTGGTTCTGTGATCGTATTCTGCTCTGACTTTCAGCAGACCTTACACTACAGCGTGCCTGCAGATGCTGGAAATCCACCAGCCTGACATCGCAATCTGCTGAAAGCTTATAATGACTCGGCCATTAAAGCACATGCACTCTGTCGCTCTCAGAAACACGTGAGCCGGCTGTGAGTTTGGGACCGTGGCTGCTTTTAACAGGAGTATGCTGGGTCTGAATTTAGATTAGCATTCTGAATGTTCCTCAGGCTTAGCATAACATTCCTCACACATATCAGTATGACGCAGTGCCCGGGCGAGTACTGAATTAGATGATTGAATATCTCGTTTTACTACCTATTTTATTGCTTGTGTCCTTGTGGAGAGTTTAGAAGTCAGACCGTCAGCAGGAGCCTGCTGCTTTACTTAGTCACTTGTTGAAGCTGTGCTACTCTGTCTCGCGCTACAGAAACGACACCTGCTGCAGGGCTGCTACTCTCTGCCTGCCCTCCGACTTCTCCGAGGACGCCTCCAGGCAGAGGAAAGCGTAGGTTACACGCACAGTGTCACTGTGGAGAGACGTTCGTGCACACATGCAAAGTAAAGATAAGCCTATGTGTGAATAAGTAAAGGAGAAAATGCTATATCTATCTTTTTAAGTTACTATATATAATATAATGGGCTCTGTGATATGTATCCATATGGTTTCAGATACAGAATAAAACAGTATTGTATATATGAATATAGTTCTGTTACATTTTACAGGATCTAGCTAATTCTGACCCCAAAATTGGAAAATAACTCAAAGTTTAAAGGTATTCATACAAAATAAATTAACTGTGCAGGTGAGGGAGAACACAGAAGAGTCTGTAGATTTGTTCATGCAAATAAATCCTGGTTTATTTTCTGAGACTTTTACAATTTAACAAACTACTTTCGGTCTGTACTGACCCATGAAATGGCCAAAGTCACACAATGACACAAACTAACCACACTAGACTAGACAGACTCCCATTTGTTGTGAGGATTAAATTAATAGTAAAGTGCAAAGGCCCTCTTACTCTGTCTGATGGCAGGTAAACCTATTATTGAAACCATCAGCAAGAAATATTAAAAATGCTTTTATTAAGGCCTCACCTGCACAAGCCTAGAGACCTGTGGGAAATCATCTGGTGGTCTCCGGTCACAAATGAAAACCATGCATTCCCCAACAGGCTGCTGGCAGCTGCTGTGAAATCGACTGCTAAACTCCATTCATGCAGGCCTAGAGACCGGTTAGTGACCTCCTGGTAACCACCGGTCTAGAGGAAAATGTGTATTCTGAGATTAGCAAGCCAACGAGTGGTTGCTGATGGTCACGGGCAGGTTGCCACAGACACCAGTAGTTTGTACGGAAGATGTCAACTTGACCGGAAACACTAACTACTCACCAAACAGTGTGGAAAGTGTGAAAAGCTCAACACAAACATTCACCTTCAAAAAGTTAGACCTTTTAAGATGAGAAGTGTGGCAAACTTTTGACTTTCAAGGTGGCTGGTCAACATTTCAGTGTTGCTCAGAACTTTTTCAAGTTTCACTGCAAGCCAGAAATTAAATTAAATTAAATTAGATTAAAATGAAAACTGCATCTGCAGGGAGAATAAAGCAATCACAAGGCGATTTTTGTGTGTTCCTTCTCTGCAACCAAATCACACAAAAGCAGATGTGATCAACCGAGTTGTCGATGAAAAATTTTCCCTAGCGGCTGGAATTTGCCAGAGGACGTTGTCGACCGGTCTCTAGGTCTGTGTGAATGAGGTTTATCTTCCAAAGTACTATAACACTCTTTGGCAGCAATTACCCAGTTTAAACCTCCCGACGGACTACAAACAACATTAACATATTATGTTTTAAGCTGTTTTGTTTAACAGCTGAATATTTACACATCGAGCAGCAACAGGATGACATTAAGTCCAATAATCCGCTTTTAACTCCTCGTGGAAATATCTGGCATTTTGGCTGCTAAATCCTCCACGATGTTCACCATCTAGTCTCTTTGCCTTTCAGCTGTTTAGCGATGAGTGCACAGAGTGGATGTTCAGAGATCCTTGTGTAAAATTACACTATGAGAACACAGAAAATGAAAGGTGTGCATGGAGCCGAGAGTCACCACGATGCTCTGCAAAGCCGAGGGTGGGAGCAGTTTTAGGTGTTATTACAAAAAATGTCAGTGCTTCAAGTTTGTATGTGAGGATCAATGTCGTGTTTATTTCTAGAAAGGAGACTAAGATGTTTATAGAAGAAATCCAACATGCTGGGATCGTGTTCAAAGCTGCCGTAACATTCTTCTACCTGGATTTACAGTCATACTGTTGTTAACCGCATTCAGCAGCTACTAATGATGCAACGGATCAAAAATCTCACCGTTCAGATCGGATCAATTTTCGGATCAGCAAAAATAGAAAAAAAAGACAAAAATTAGACTCGCCATTTACTTATTTAAGTATTTTTTGCCCATTAAAAAAACATTCAACTGAAGATTCATTCCACGCACTTATATAAAAACAAATTAAGGTGCAATATGGACATTATGGACCATGCTGGGCATCCTCTGCATACGGCCATAAACAACCAGGGTTCTGTTCAGTGACAGGTTGCTTCTCCCAAAGTCAAGGACCAGCAGACTTAAAAAGTCCTTTGTCCAACACGCCATCAAACTGTTTAACTCCTCGCTGGAGGGGAGAGGGAAGGAAAACGGGGACAAAGGAGGGGCAACAAATAAGCTGTAGTGCCTTTTCACTGTGCAATAGTTTTTGTTAATATCCAACGGTGTAATAGACTCACAATACTTGAAATGTGCCATTCCTTGTATTCTTGTATTCTATTTATCCCTTTTGTATACTCTGTATTTATATTTGTGTAAATATGGTATATTTCTGCTCACATTCTGCAACTTCTGTCGGTGCTGTGCTACTGGAAACTGAATTTCCCGGAGGAACCCACCCGAGGGATAAATAAAGTTTCATCTAATCTAATGTAATCTATAGGGCAGTACAGGGCTTTGTATCTACCACTCTACTGTGATATAACGAGCGATCACGGTCACGTGGCTTTCCGTTGACCTGGAGGTCCACCCATTTGTAGTTAGGGCAACAGAAGATGCCTGGGACAGTTCAGCCATAACTTTAAACTGCTCCTGCGCATACTTGCTTGGAACGATCTTGTCACTGAAGTGGACGCGCAACGAGATATCATAGCGTGGCTCAAGCACGTTTATCACAGTTTAAACCCTTGTTTTGCACAACGGAATACGGCCTCCCGTCTGCAGCTAAACACCCCAGTAGCTTTTGTAATATCTTTAGCCCGGTTGGATTGGGCAGCAAAGAGCTGCTTAAATGCCGCAAACTCCTCTGCTCCGCCACTTGGACCGCTAGCGCTGGCCATAACCACCGCTTGACAGACCCACCACACGCACCATACACATACTTTTTTTTCCCCTTTCTCAAATCTTCGGATCACGCGCGTACCGAACCGTGGAGCGGGATCGGTTCGGATTTCGGCTAAACCGTGATCCGGTGCACCACTAGCAGCTACAGCTGGCAGCTGTTAGTGTGTAACATGTGGAATAGTACCCTGACCCTGTGACAGCAAACTGCAAAACTATCCAGAGGCCTGACTAAGATTCACATGACAAAAAGAAAGAAAAGCATGACTCAGTGCAAAGATGAATACCGAAAACAGAACGCAATCCAAGATAAGGAACACAAGGAGTGGCATTTATTCAATCAACGACTAACTTTAGTGTTTGAAGCTGTGTTTGCTAATATACGGAGTACCTGAAACTTAAAGTGTGTGCACGCTGTGTGTACATTGCAGCCGTTTGTAAGCAACAGGTTTCTTACTTCTGGCCTGCTTGCTCTTGTCTCTGCTGTTCCTGAACGCCATCAACCGCTTGGTGGAAGTCAAACACTGCGAAGGAGGGAGAGAGGACACACACACACTCACACACCTCAAAGAAAGCAGAGCTCCCGCATTCACACACACATACACGCGCACACACACACACACACACACACACACACACACACACTTCTTCTTGCATGCATTCAAACTGTCGCACACTCTCTAAAGTAAACGAGTGCAGGGGCAGATCTGCGAGGACTTACCAATGTGTGCTCTGTCCGAGATGATCAACCGTTTCTCCCAGCCTTTTAGACCTACACACGCATATATGCTGTGAGTTCCACACAGATAACTAACACCATGTTTTGCTCAGAAAAAGAAAAAAAAAGTAAGTACAGCACTCACTTTTTCCTTTGCGTTCATTTTTTTCTGCTTCTTCGAACAGGCCTGGAAGATGGATCACCACACCATTGCCTGATGTAAAAACAAAGCTATGTGACATTACAGTTCTTGGTTTCAAATCAAAAGAGTCAAAGCTGAGTTTATTTCTCTGTAAACTATCAGTATATGCCCTATTTTGGTTTACGATCCCTTAAAGAATACACAAAATTATGTTTAAAGAAAGAAGAGTGACTTTTGATACGAAAGTAAAATGTTTCAATGCCACAGTGAAGGTTCGGATTGTCCTACAACAGAGAAATTACAGGTAGTATAAAATTCTATCATCACCACAATGTCACGCTTTGGGATGTTTGAACAGAACGGAGGCTTCATTAATGATATTAGAAACAAAACTTACTACAAAGACAAGTCAAACTTTCTGACATGTTATGTTTCACACTGTTGATGATGCAGCTCTGTTGGGGGCTGTCATTTGTGATGCTGTCGATCGGAGATGTCCTGAGTAGCTCTATGGAGTGATATCGAGGCCAATCCAGGCTTATTACTCTGGATGAACTAAAATAAACCTGATCAAATTTAAACCCTGTCTTTATAGCACTCCACTGTATTAACTTCAGCCTGCTGGTGTTACTGTGCAGTCAGCCTCTATCAAGAAGCTTTGTGCTCTGAGAGAGTGAAAATTAAGGGCAAATGAGGGGAGAGAGTGTGACCTCTGAAACCCAGACACTAACAGATGTGTTACTGAATCTTAAATCTCTCCTCTGACCAGGGCACAAAGCGTTTAGATACCAGCCTCTCATTTCTGGCCAGAGCTGACAGTTACTTTCACAGATAAGTGATTTTGTTTCCAGCGAATAGTCGCATCGAAAGTTTCTGTGACCTTGAACACACTCATCCTGGCTAATCAAGACTTTTGTACAGTTACAGTTGTTACATGAGCACCAACCAGTGTTCGTTTCAGTCAGATCTACCCATTACTCCTCGCATCATGGTTCAAAATACATATAGGTGACGCTAAATTTGCTTTGTCTGTTGTTTGTTCTATACTGTCTGCTGTTCAGACCACAGTGGAAGCAAACCTGAATGCGGAACTGGCCAAACAGGATAGCCTGCATCTGGAAATGTTTTAACTTAGTTGGAAGATAAGCTTATCGTTCCCATTTGTGGGCAGAGTCGCTTCATTCGACTGTGTGTAAGTTGCATCTAAACCAAAGTCGGCGCCCGTCATTGTGAAAGCAGTCTTAGGTGTGCCTGAATGTAATGCCAAGAGACAGAGCAGAGCTTTCTTTACTCACTGGAGTATTCAAACAGCTGGCTCTAATTAGCTTTTAACTGGAGCTTCATTACGTGGAGGCAATGAGGTAATTACTTTAACCAAATTAAATATAGGAAACAAGGAAATTAGCTATAAAAGCATTAAAAAAAAGCTCTTTTAATGACACTGTCAGAATGAATGTGCTCACTAAATGAGACGTTCTCAAAATCTACACAGGAGGCAAAGTTATGTCACAACAAACAGAAATAAGCCTCTACACATGAGTGCCACAGTCGTAAGCAAAAACAAAGCAGAAACAGTATTAAGTATTGATAGACTGTACGTGGTCAACTGCAGATGTGTACAGGGACTGGAAGCCTTAAAGGAAAAGTTGGATCCATTAGCTAATGAAATTACTGCAGATGGGTGGATACGATGTAGCCTGCAGTCTGGCTCCGAGTCAAGCCGATCGCACTCGCTGTAAGAGTCGTCAGGATGGAGGCTATATGAGCGATGACGAACAGCCAACTAAAAGGGATCGCGATCAGTTCAAGAAGAAAATAGCGAGGAACTGTGTGTGTATCGTGCAGCAATGTAAGTGTATTTCTGCATGCGATACACACCAATGAAAGCGGTGACCTTGGGGTTGATGATGCCGCTGGGTAGGAGGTGAAAGTCGTACTCGACTGAGTCGACCACCACTGTGTGTCCTGCGTTGTTGCCGCCCTGCAGGGAGAGAGGGGGGAAAAAAACAGAAACTGATGACTAAAGCCAAACAGAAACTAGAGGAGGCTCTCCAACTTTGTTTTGAAAAGCCAAATAGTTTGGCGAGAAGCAACAAGCATCATACACAAACCACGAAGCGCTGCCTGTTAGGGTATGTGTTGCTCTGCGCTGTTGCTTAGAAACTTCTGCTTACTTTGAGGTCAGAAAGCAGAGGTATCAACCCAGTATAAACCTACTGACAGATGCATGGAAGGGCATGTCAAACGAACTGTTGGTAATGTGTGTTAAGAACACGTTCATAATCCTCTAGTCTGCACACCCAAACACAGCGACATGTTCTGTCAAGACTCTACAACTACAAACACACACTTTAAGAATATATAATAAAGAAATATTCGTAGTTACGCCTGAAGGACATGGTACTCCAAGAAAGGAAATGAAGCTGGAGGAATGACGAGTTCTTGCGCCCCTCCTTACAACAAGCTGTGATTACAAAAGTAAAAGCTAGACTGACGTTTATAATATTTGCGTAACAATATGCAATTTGTCTACAGGTTCTAATACTCAGAATTTAGGTTTATATAAAGCTTTACAAGCTCTTCAGTCCTTTTCTTGTCAAAATTGGTGCCTATATTAACCATAATCTGTCTTTTTTGTTTATTGAGCCTTATTAGCAGTTTATATGGCCTCAATAATCTTCTACAGTTGAGCAGAGATTACAAGCAAGAAAAAAGGATATGGTAATGCTACTTCTTTCCAACTCCACACTCAGATTTCTAATTTTTAAGTATTTAACCAGTGAGGCAAAGCAACGACACTTATAATAGCTCATCAGACTCTGTGCAACTTTATACAAACACTGTTCACATTTGCAGCAACGCTCGCCAACACTTAAACTGACTTTGACATGTATAAAAGGCCAACTCCTCACACTTAACAAGACGACGCTATCTGCCTGACAGCTAAGTCGGTGAGAAAACAGAACCTCATCAGTTTTTTTATGATAATAGTGATGATAAATCACAATAGTGATGACAAATTTATGACAAGAACAAAATCAGCTAATCATTCAGGCTGTGGACTCTTGGAAGTGCAGGTTCTGAGAAGCGAAAGCAGTATCACTATCGGTGTGTAGACGCTCAGTACTGAACTATATCTGTACACCAATTTGTTTGCAGCACAAGACATCCACTGGCTAAAGGAAACTACAATTTCAGACAAGCAGAGACCATTTAATCTTGTTGTATTTAATCATGCTTCTGTGAGTTAATCTGATAGGATGTAGCACAGACGCCTGCAGATGATTTAGCACATCTGACTTTAGAGATAAAAATGGGGGGACCCAGAAAAGGAACGGTGAGTTCTTGGACTAGAACATCACAATCTGACCTGCTTTACTCCTCTCTTCTTCATGTTTATCAGTCAGATGTTAAGGTAAAAAAGAACACGAGGTACACGGAAAAGAAGGGGAGAAACAAACAGATACTTAAGCAAGTACTTCATTTTTTAAATTTCTTTTTCTTTTGCTGTGATGAAAAATTAAACTGCTGATCCATTTTTTTCTGCTGCAGCTTGCGTCACTACCCACAACCCACGGTGCCTATTCAACTTATGCCTGTGGACATAAATCAGGCTCAGCATGTGCTTTGGCCACATGGAGTTATTCCTGGCTACAGCAGCACCCTGAAGGTGGAGAGGGGAAACAGATGGGGGGCAGATGCCTCTCCTTTTTAGATATGACTTTTACGATTCACCCCATCCCCCCAAAGAACCGAAGAACTCCGGTCTTCCAGCAGTCCCATGATCGGCTTCTCGTACCCGTCACCAGACACAAATTTTTACGATGGTCACCTACTGCCCTTTAGTTTGGGAACTGCAGGGGCAGTGTGATTACTGCTCTAAGGGTACAATAGAAGGTCTCTGCTATGCAAACATACTTCAACAATAACAGAAATTATTACTATTATTAAAAAAGAGACAAAACTAAAGCTGTAGAAGCTTTTTGACAATAGATAAAGGACCTGAGGAAAAATCTGACCTTGCTGTTGGTAATAATGAATCATGCGACTCTAACCTGGGATAAATGCTTTGATGTGAAAGGAAAAACATGGGTTAATCTTGCAGCTATGCATCTCTTAGCCAGTGGAATTAACTGGACAATTAGTCAATCCCTACGTCATCAGGCGCTACTGGTAGTTTCTTCTGAAAGACATAATTACATAAGATTAATTTACAGATTATTTGGCTTCAGCTTTAAGAGATCTTAAGCTGATCCAATCTTTGGATCTTTATTTGGTTAATGTGTTTAAAATGCATGTTTTGCCCCATCCTCTCATTAATGTTGTGATGCAAGTACGGTACTTTTGAAAAGCACTCGTTGGTCTCAGATTTCATTTATTTTGCAAAAATAAGCAGCTTAGAAAAGAACAAGCAGAAACTTCTACTCATTGTATAAGATTTTAATGTCTCAACGCCTCTGTTTTTACTGCTATGTCAGAATGGTAAGTTGGGTAAGTCGATGTCCTGCTGGCGCATCTGATCTTTTAGGTAGCATCGATTTCCAAAATGAGCTCAGTTCAGCGGTTTTGATGTTCACACTTATATTTTCTCTTCTTTTTTTACTTTTACAACTAATAGCACTGAAAAGAAAACCCAAACTGCTCAAACCCACTGGGCATACCAAACAGCGAACAGCAGGCACACATCGCTAGAACTGATAGAAAGTATTCAACTTACATTCAGCAGGTGGCCAAAAACTCAATAAAAACTTAGAGTCTGAATGACTATGAGTATGATCATGATAATTGGATTTAGGTTGCTATGAATAACACTCAGCCTTGATGATGAACATGATGCTTTTCATCAGACTCATTATTAGATCCTACCTGCAAGATAAACCTGATTTTTACAAATGTCACCCACAGAGTTTTACACAGAGACAGCAGTAGATTCAAAGACATTTACATTTTCAGAGGCTGGGTACGACTCAGTATTTATATCTCAGATCGCTGTCAGATAAATATTGTTTTTTTCACAGAAGATACTGTGATATACCACAGCAGGAAAAGTGATGCTTGATGGGACACAGTATCTGCAGTTGGAGAAAGAAACACTTTTCATAGACGTTTTGAGAGTTTGGGAGAACACTGGACTACTTCAACCACAAATCCTGCTTTTTAAACTAAATATAGTTATTACATTTGACTTCTTTTAAAAAAGCTTTGACGCCTCACCAAACTGTGTTCACGTTACCACACTGAATCCCATGTGTTAGCACAAAAACAGGGACTTTTTATTAGCGCTGCCGCTTTTCATCTGAATCAAGTAATGTGCAAAACAGTTAAAACCGTTCAGCACCAACTCCGTTCTGTTCAGTCATTTAATGCCAGATAACAACTTTGCTAAATAGATCAGTTGTACCTGACACTTTGTCTCTGAGAACCAGGGAGTCATGGTGAGGACAGGATCTTCCTCCTAAACAGGCTCATGTTTTGTTGGCAACCATTTGCCTTACTCAAGTGTACTCTGACACTAAATTGCAGGTCACTGTCATTTTCTGTACTACCTTACAATGCTGCAAAAGATTAACTACATCTTATGAATCAATCATTAAATAAAATCAAATACCATACTCCAGAATTTGGGGCATGTATGTATATTTATAAGATATTAACTAGCCGTTGGGGATGCTCACAGTTACTTTTCTTCTTTGTGATGCAAGCAAAAAAACATAAAACAGGCAGGTAGTTTAAGCTAAGGCTGGATGTGATCACACCCCGAGCAACCTTAACAGATTGGGGTTTTTCAAAAAGATTTAGAAGCCCCCTCTAAAAAGTTTTGGCCTTCCACTCAAAAATAAATGAATAAATGAATAAATAAAGGCCCAAAAAAGAAGCACAGAAGGAGACTGAGATATCCTTTGACCAGATGAGCTAAACCTAGGCTTTGTTCCACTCCATTCTGGGTTCGTGCCCATGTACAGTTAGGAGCCCATCCAACGGGCAAATGAAAAAAAACAATATAACTGTATTTGTTTAAATGTTTCCTCAATCTATATATTACCAAAACGCAGATCTATTTAAATGATATAATTGGTAGAACACAGTAGTTCATCATACACACTGGTGAGGCTAGTAGTAACTCTCAGAGTCAGCTGGCTAAATGATACAGTACTACAAAAACGAATGAAACAGAAGTGATGGAGGAAAATGGAAAAACGAGCAATGCAGTGAATTTATGACGTGAAACTTTGGTCCAATCTAAATGAAGGAGCCAGGCTGCCCTGACCAGTGCAGGGGTTGCTGCAGCTCTCGACCAAAGCAGTGAATATCGAGAGAATATTTTACCTGCATTATTATTTATTTTTTGTTCAACAAAGAAAGTTCCTTTTCTAATTGGGCAAGAGTATTTTACCCGAGACGCTCTCTGAGCTCTATACTTTATTACTCTTTCAACATTAATCCGTGAGCAGTAGATCTGACTGTGTTATTGATGAGATTAGCTGAATCAAACCAAGTTGTTCTGGTCCCACCACATAGTTGTGCCCGGGGGTCTTTAACGTCAAACTGACTGCCAGCATCTGCCTCTAACTGGTCACTGTGCAGAAGCTTTCCTGCATATAAAAACTAATGATTAGTTCTCCTTATGTGAATCCCTGTTGTGAGCCAGGAAAAATCCTGCCGTGGTTTGATATTTCCCCTCTTTTTCTGGTAGGAAGGTCTGACTTCAGTTCATTACAGATGATTTATACGATTTTTATCGGATCCTTTTAAGTCTTGAAAGACCAAATGCATCAAAGTCGAAGGGCTAACAGGGCAACAGTCTCTGTTTTCTTTTCTTTTTGCAAACATCTCTATAGAAACTGAGTCGACGTGCGGCAACCACGTCTCCAGCTGAACTCGTACACCATTATAATACAAACCATTGTAAGCTAAACCTACACTGTAAACAAAACTGGACAAAATGGGCTTTAAAACTTGAGAGGAAGTATTATCAGTTTC